AAGCCTTAGGCAGTGATCTTTGGAATTATTGGGCAGACTGCATAATACTCCTATCTTGTTAACTATTCTCAAAATATCCTGTACAATAAGTCATCTCGCTATATCCTTCCACTCAGAATAGAACATCTTACAGGGCTTGTTCCAACTCTCACAAACTTGAGTTGAATTTTGATACTGAACTGATAAAAGCATCATAAAAGCAACAAAAGATGTAGTGATCAAATTTTAATTCATAGCAAAGTCCCAAATAGAGGAGGAGGGCCAGGACTGCCTGTGTAAGCACTCCTCACCTCTCCTCACTAGGGATGAGGTGGCACATACACAAAATAGCTTGGTTTAGACCTTTTGATACGATCTTTCCAAGTGAGGAAGACATTCATGACACAGTCTTCGGTCAAGTATGGTCTGTTAAACATTACTGTACGTTGTTAAGCTGAAGACAGAGAGCAACAAAAAATGAAACGGAAGTGGAACCTTTTCTAAAAGACAACTTCCAAAAAAAAAAAGTACATGTTATATTGTTTTTTAAAACCCTGCCAAGAGATTCATGTTTAGCTAGTCTTCTTACTGTCTATTTAGAGTACCCCTGTAATCAGTATTCAGAGCAGTATCCTGAATCACAGTATTATTAGTTTGTCATCTCTTTGTGACAGGAAAGCTCAGGTTGCCTTAACTCATTCTTTTAGTCTTTAGGGGACAACATGGAAATCTTAAGTCTTTTTTTCTACCTCCTGAAGCAGCAGGATATTGGAAATTTTGTGTTGGGTGGCCTTGATTTTCAAATCCCGTTTTCCTAAGATGAGCATCTGTAAAATGGAGTAAGTTCTGTAGCAAATGCCAGAGTAAGGAACGTACTATACCTATTAGTCCAGGAGAATTCAAGTTTCTTTCAGACAGGTTTACTGTTTCTGATACTGTAAGCTATGTAACAGCAAACATGAGTATATTTATGTGTTACATGAAGCCCTTTTTGTCGTGATAAGCTGTGTCATTGAAGGGATGAAGAATTTTTCTTTTAAAACGTTAATTCATTGCCTCTAATTTTTTTTTCTCACAATGAAGCTGGCAAAGATAGCTGGAGAGTTTCTAAAAGCAATTACTCTTTTGAATAAAAAAAAACCCAAAAGTGCTAGTATGCCAATTGCACTTAAGCTAATGAAGGAAAATAAATCTCAGAGTCAACTGAGGGGCATAATAATATTGGAAAGGAAGGTTTTGGATAATAAGAGGATATTCAATGTAATTAATAGATAACACGGGTTGTAACACTGTTCTGAAGAACACGGATTTCCAGATAATGCATTTGGGTAATCAAACCTGAACTGTCCTCTTTTTTCCCCTTTCGCTCCACAAAATCATTACTATTTTATTTTCAAAATAAGCTGCTGAATTAACTCAAGGCATTATTTATAAGTCAGTACAAAAGTTCAATTTTATGTTGATTTATAAATATGTACAAAATTTCATCTGATGAGATCTTTCAGAGCAAAACCAAAACACATCCAAAGCAGAAAATTTATGATCGAATGTATTTCTTTTTACTGTTCTGTATTTTCACTGTAAATCAGATACAGAGAAATCCATAAGATGTACTCCATTTTGTTACTGGCAAGTCATATTACTAAAAGTGGCCTTTTCTAATGGAATTTTGACAAGTTAGGCCTAGGACCCTAAAATACAAAAGGACACTGTTTCACTGTGTAAATAAGACAATTGACAGAGACTTCTACTCTAAGTGAGCCACTGTTTTTGAATTTGTTATTTTAAAATCTCTCAAACTAAAACCACTGCAAAAGCATGACATTCTTTGATTTAGACTGAGTAGTCCTCTAAATGCTGAAAGCCTCAACTTTTTAATGCCACCAGCTATAACTGTTTCAAAAGCTGTTAGGGAACTTCACTTAGTATGACACTCAGGCACAGCTGTTCTCAAATGATACCTCATACATACCTAATGACGGAAAGAGGGAGTTGAATAATTATTACTCTTACCTTATCCCTTTCTAGGTTTACCCAAATGCAAAAATTGGTACTGATGATGAATTCACATTTCAGTAGACAGGATTTTTCAGCTTTGGTGACAGTGACTGAGGCTCCCTCTGCTTCTCTCAAAAAAACCCCAACACCCTCCCGCCCAAACCCCAAAATCATCCTCCGAGAAAAACCACACACAAAGAAGTACACATGCAATATGCCTACTCTTCAAACTTTAGCAAAAAACTTGTAAGGAGGAACACAAAAAGGATTGGTGTTAACTCCAGTACTGCACAGCATATGCTCAGCGTAACAGACTGGGAGCTTTTATAAACACATTTTGGGGTTTTTTTTTTAGTAGTTTTAAAGAACTTGCTGCATTTTGCAGCAGGCAACGCTAATACATGGAGATTTTGTCAGGGAGAACAGTCTTCTGGCTTGAAGCTTTCTTTCTTCATTCAAGATCATAAGCACTTTCTGGTCTGGCTTAAGAACTGGCTAGAGCAGTTGACTGAAACCCAAGAACTCTGTCTTCTACTGCCATGAATTTACTACTTAGCTAAGAACAATTTAATTCGAGAAACTGTGCATCACTGTCCTCAGCAAAATGGATAGAATCATACCTTCTACTGCAGAGACAAAAACCCCAGTGTAAACAGTTATTAGTAATTATTTTTTAAAGTAGAACACATCAAAGGCAATTACTTAGACTTTCAAGAACTTAGAAGCTTGGTTCAACATGGTTTTTAAGCGTATGCCTAGCATTAAGCAGCTTAGTAAGTACGTGAAGTCAGGGTAAGTCAGGCATTTTCTCAAAGTTTTGTTTCAAGAAAATACTCAGTTTGGCTGAGGAACTAAGAAATGATGTAATGCTTGTAATCTACAGATACTGCAGAACTGAAATTCTGATTCACGGCCTTGAACTTAAAAAGAAGTCCATTGTATCCCAAATGACGTGCTAAGCCTATTTTTAAGTTTTGCACTTCAGCAAAAACTTTTTACAAGCAGCTTTTGGGCTCAGTAAGCTGTAAACTACCTTTGCTGCAGGTTTTTGTTTGTTGACTGTCAAAACAGCTGTCCCACGGTTCTATATTACTATGTTACAATGGTAGCGTGAATCACATAACAACATTTTCCAATGTGCTTCTAAGTCTTACTGACTGAGTCCATCTGTGAAAGTAGAAAATGCTGTCCTTTTCCTAATTGTGACAAATTCTACTTATATTTAAAATACTTTTATTTTTCTTTTGCTTGGATTATGAGATTACCATGACACTCACTAAGAACTCCAGTATACAAGCAGCACAGATGTGACACAGAAGCCAGTTTTAAATAAACCTTAGTGCCACTTCATGACACTTTGGTTAGTGACAAAAAAATTTATAAAAAATTGTTTTAAAAGGGAATACAAGAATATTTTGAGTTGATGAGAATAATCAGTTATATTTTTTACATTTATTTTCTGAATTAGGCATACAGCAAGACAGAATTAAAACACGTCAAAGCAGCATTCAATTGATGATATAGTATGCAAGTGTACGGCGGATGGTAAGGACTGAAAACACAGAATGGACAATAAGATGAAATTTTGATCAAGTAAGACCTGTGGGAAAAGGGCTACCTAAGAGTTTCTAAATAAATTTCTGGGGATCTTCAAGATGACTGATGTAAGGTCTTTCTGTAATGTGCTATTTGCTCAATAGAGAAGATTATTCTTAAGCCACATAGTATCCATTTACCTATAAACAACTTCATGTAAAACATAAACTTACGTGCCAGTTCTTATCTAGTTCTCAATTTTAAGAAACAAACTTATTTCTTTTGCAGAACAAGAGTTATCTATGTGTTCTTGCTCCGGTGAACATGCCCATTTGTTACAATCCCAGACAGCCAAGACTAATATAGGACAAATGGCATTAGAAACAGTAAAATGTTCAATTTATCTAGCTCACCAGTTAGCAACTATTTCTCTGTGAGTTTTAGTACACAGTTACGAAAGACACTGGTTTTATTTTCCCCTTTCCCAACACAAGAGCAAACTATCAGCCTTTAGGGTTTTTGTTCCATCGTATCACAGAACACTAATCACTTCCATTATATCATCTTGCTTGACATTTTTTCAAGAATTTTATTGAAAAAGCCAATTCTTACCTCTATGCCATCATACTGTTCAAAGAGTGTGCAACATTCTGCAAGACCAAGCTGGGTCAGCCAGTCAGAAATGAGTAGATACTTCATTATCCATTCCCTCACCTAACAATGCCTTTGACTCTGAAAAACAAAAACACCACCGAATTACAAATACTATTGCTTAAGAATGTCAAATGACTGAACAACTTAATAGCATGGAAGTTCTACCACTGTGGCCAAAGAGATTAATGCTTTCTTGGTCGCTTGGTAATAGGTAGTTATCTATGCATTAAGATTATTACATTTAATTCACTGTTTCACTGTAATCCTCATAAAAACAGGGAATGTTGAGGACAACATTTTGTTTAGCTCTCACAGCTCAATTAATCTTTTAGAAGATGAATCAACAGAATCACTCAATAGCATAGTATCAATTAAAAAATACTCAGACTTTATATTCAAAGAGAATGTTCTTCAATATGCTCATTCAGTGATATTGCCATTCTTCTTACACGTGTAACACATGACAAAATGGACAAAATGAAGAGGAAGAGCAAAAGGAGCAGTGTTATCTGTAGGAATATGAAGGAAGTGAATGAAACTGCGTATTCTGTAAGACAGTCAAAATGAAAATGATTCTGCAGTGGGTGTTTGTCCAAGATGTGAACATAGCTAAAGTCAACTTGTTATGGAGTATTTCTACAACAAAAGCAACTGAAAGATTGTTACAGTTTGGTCTCCATAATGATGTCATCTAAATTTGAGTTATCTGTAAACAAAACCACTTTTTGTTACTTTTTTTTCCAGTTGCTAAAATGAAATAAAAGACAGACATTAAGATGGGCACGATAGACAAAGGAAGACAAAAGGCAGACACGTGAAATATTCTCCCAACATCACTGCTCTATGTAAGCAGTTATATAAGAGAGACATAAACAAATGCTTAAGCTTCCAAAGAATTGCTGAGTTTGTGAAGAGATTTCTATTTGCAAGTTTGAGCATATCGTAAATAAAGGATGCCCAATTCTAAATCTGTAACTTGTGACCTGAACACTTCATATCAGAGTGCTGATGCAAGAAGCAGGAAATGCTCATGTTCAGACACGCAGCATCTTTAATCATATTTTTTTTGCTACATTTTTTTTATTTGAAGGTTTTCCTCTCATCTATACTTCAGGAAAAGTACTTGCTGATTAGATCTGTATAAACCAACTGGAATTACGACTTTCCAGCCACAAACCACTTGTTTCAACACATCTGTCTACTCTGAACATGTGATAAGAAGCTGCCCAAAGGCAGCATTTTATGGTCAGCAAAGAGCCAGTGTTGCTTTCTGACAGATAGAGAAAGCTGTTTAGCATTTCTATAATTCTTGGAACACTATAAAAGTGTTGAAGCTTTTCTTTTTTTTGTTGTTGTTGTTAATACAAATTGCAACCCCAAAAATACTGTCCTGCAGAAAGGTCGGCCACAGTAGCAGTATTACCTGTGTTAAAGTACAATACATTTACTAAAAATATTTTGAAAGTATTTAAATTAGAACAAGTACCATTAGTAAGACACACAATGTTTTGGACCAGACCTGGTTTTGGAAGCCACTATGAATTTTGCCTCAGCGGGCAACGTTGGAAACAAGTCAAGTCAACATGGTCACAGTTCAGAGACGCATATGCCATTACACTGCAGAAGCTGTAATCCCGGAATTTGTCACTTCATGATCTAATTTAAGAACAAACCTGCTAATTTTCAAATCATGTTGTGAAATCCCTCTATCCTCCACCGGAATACTCCGCTATATTATTTGCTTTATTACAGCTTTTTGAATATTGTGAAAATATTGGAGGCTATGGATGGCAAGCATACATCTGAAGAATGATGGTATTACAGTAAATAAGAGCATCTTGTGGAGCAACATCAATCAGAAAAATGTCAACATTTAATGGACGCACCACAAAAGAATTTCTTCGAGGAATGTTAAAGCCACAGAGAACATTCTTACGTGAGGCGAGGACAAGCTCAGCCACTGAAATCTTTCCTTTATCAGCTTGCTTTAAACAGGTACTTTCAGATTGCAAGATGGTCAGCATGAAAAGCATACGATTTTCAGGGAGATAAAAGGAAAACACAGCCGGTTGGTTAGGACATTAGTAAAACCGTAGACAAATAGCTCTTTTGTGGTTCGTACACTTCCAATTCAGTCACAGACTTTAATTTTGTTGTCATAAAGGAACTTGTTTTCAAAACTGTTTAACAACTTCAGTAGGGATATATTTGTTAAGACGACAAATTTCATCTTTCATTTTGAGTATTTAGTTTCCATGCTGGTACACAACAATTAAAAAACAAACAAGAATTGGTGGAGAGTCATTACACTTATCATTCCAGAAGGGAGAGAAATTCTGCACTAAGCTGAAAGGAATCCCAGAATTTCCACAGTGCAACACTCTCTTTAAACAATATAATGATAAACAGTGGCTATCTAATCTTACTCAGCCAGCTGCATTTGCTCTATTATTAATTTATACCAAATAAATAAAAAAACCCACCACAAAACCCCCACCAAATAAAACTCCCACCAACACCACCACCCCTGCCTCCAAACCCCCATACCAAAGGAAATTCAAGTGCAAGCAGAAAATTATGTTAACTTATATGACAAGATACCAAGAGATACATGATGTGTTGTTTTCAAATGTACTGCACTTACACATTTGAACATGATTATTTTATGGCATACTTTTATATGCTATTAAGTCTTTGTTGACACCTGTGTAGATGTTTCCCTTCTGTTTTTATGAAAAATTTGTTCCTATGGCCGAAAGCGGCGGCGGGGGGTGGGGGCGGAAATCTCATTTCTCCCACAAGATAAGCAATTTCTGATCCTTCTGCTAATTGTAGTATTGGTGAAGAAAGGTAACAGAAACGTTAGCTCAAACATCTCTTATTTAACCAAAATTACACTGTTAATTGGATGCAGGGTACAACCTAGTGGTCAGGACACGAGATCTATTCAGAGCCTGCTCAAGGTTAAGAGTAAAATGGAATTACAAAATAAATTGTAAAAGACCCTAAATATATTACTATGAGAACTGGTTTTAGGCAGAGGGAGTTTCCTATTATTCTTCTACTCCTACATTATTTATTTTTATTTCTGAAAATAGGATTAACTCTTGCTTAGGGCAGGTAACGCCAACATTTTTTAACATCCAAAATACGATTATAAACACACCAGCAAGGCGTGTGGCACATGTTGGGCATATATTTTTTCCCCACAATTAATATTCTTCCTTTCCAGAGGAAGGAAGGAAACAAAAGTATAAGATGACAGCATGGATTGGAGGGCGATACCGGATCTATGTTCTGTTTACTCACTCTAAACACTGTCACTTCCTGTACATGTTAATTTTCCTGCAATAAAGAGATTACCATAGGTTTAGTCAGGTCATCAGATTTTTATGGGATAAACCCATGGTTGTTCCATGACTTGTTTCTATTTACTCAGTGAGGCTTTTTCTTCTGTTATTACCTAACAAGCTCAAGAATGAAGTTACGGTGTTTTGAAATCCTTTTGTGAAAGGTCTTGCAGTATTACCTACATAATTTATACAATTTCAAGGTTTTTTTACATCAAAATAAACAATTCGAGTCCAACCTAGGTTTGTACAGTTCTGTTTCTGAACACCAGCCGTTTAGAGGCTTTTATGAAATGAATTCGTTGCCAAAAAAAGTTATTGAATGAGTAATAACGGGAGGTTCCTACGGTGGCACTCTGATCTACCAAACTGAGCTTAGCTTTTACTTTCAGAGGGCCTTTCTGCATTATCTTAAAAGCATGCTCATAGTTGCAGTCATACATTGGGGAACTTCTGAAGCAAAAGCACAGAGAAAGGTGTTTTATATGTAGCTTTCAGATCCAACTGTTCATGCTGCAATGCTTTACTATACTGATAATTCATTAGTTTTCTTCTTTCCTCTATCACAATATCTCAGGAACTATCAAAAGATGCTGCTGCTGATGTTGGCTTGTTATACTCCAGACACAAGGTAAGTTATATGTAATACCAGATTCCTAATTCAGCTATGGTTTCATGGAATTAGCTTCACCGTAATTTTTGAAAAGTGGGTATGTGCGTACTACAAAGACACCAAGGCCGAGCAACTGAAAATCACTATGTGGATATAGCAGGTATTCCAGGGACAAGTCATGCTCCTTTTTCAGCCTCTCTCGGGGCTTCAGGCTGTAATACAACAAGGAGCAAGCCATGTATCATGGTATAATCCTGTTCCCAGCAAAGTTACTCAGCTGAGCCAGCAATTTCATCTCCTCTGGAAAGTAATTTCTCTTATTGTGCCTTTTCTACTTCAGCAAAAATTGACTTGTATTGTTCTTCCAAATTAAGACTAGCCTCCTGCTGCGACACAATCATTCATTAGGAAAAATGGATTTATTGGACACTTGCATGAGTGAGAGTTTTCTTCGGGATTTCATTCACTTGAACTTGGCATGCCTTCCTAACTACCTCCCTTGAATCAAGCATCCATCACAGTTTTGTTTTCAGATGTACTTTCACCTTCAGATGCACCTTTATTTTCCTCTGGCATCAGCGAAAACAACAAACTGTCTAAATTTATAAATCAATAAATCTGACCTTCCCATGCAACATTCTGTACCCCTCAGGTCCTGTATTGCAGCACCAAGTAGTAACACTGACCAAAGTCTGCTCTCTCTGCTGATCACATCTTAACCATTCATGCTTAACTAAGCAATTCAGACAGGTATTTCTTGAATGTTCTGTTGTAATGCATGTTGGAATGGCAGAAAGTTTCTGCCATTGGAGTGCCAGTTTCTGAATGCAGTAGAATGAAAAACTAGAAAAGCTGGAAGTGGTCATCATGCTTCTGGTGTCACTTCTCAGAGGTTTTACCACTTTAATACAAAAGACCTATCTTTTCTTTTGCAGCTCTTCCCTCTTCTTTAAACAATTTGTCAAGTGTAAACCATGTTGTCACTAGTACAGTTTAGGACAGTAAATCTGTGTATTTTGGAAAAAACTTAGAAGCCGACTGTTCCATAAAAGGAATACTAAATGCAGGGTTGGAAAACCAGAAGATACCAGTCAATGACCCAAAGCTT